AAAAAAAAAAAAAAAAAGAAGAAGAAGAAATTCTGCTGCAAGAGGTGAAGAAATTTCCTCCCTGGAGCTACCCCCTTTGGGCTCCAAGCTTTTCCCCCTCCTCTCTCACTCCTCTCCCACCCTCCCCCTCCACAGGTGGCACTGGTATGGTCGGGGTAAGAGTCTTGAGCCATCAATTAAATGCAAGCCCAGGTGCACGTCTCAACTGGGCCACTTCCCAGCTGCGACGCCTGGTCCACCATATGGAACCCATCTGGACCTCCACTTCTTCATCTGGAAAATTCAAGACAAATAAGTGCGCCTACGTCACCCAGGTCGGTGTTTGAAACAGTTGAGTTCACGTAGGTGGAATGAAAACCTGAGCGGAGAGTTGGGCCTGAACTGAGCGCTTAATCATCAGCCGCTAGCTAACTCTGGGGCGGACTCGGGACTGCAGGCCCGGGCCTCTGGAGCTCTGTGGGGGACCCAGTAGCGTCAGGGGTCCGGCTAACCTAAGGTGGAGACGTTCTTGCTACCTACCTTAGTGAACCACTTCCTTGGTTACTATTATTCCTAAACGCTTTGCAATCCCACGGGCTCCCGGAGGCGGTTCTTGTTTGCAGCTCTCAGTGCCGCCTCGTGGCGAGTCCTGGTTACCGCCTTCTCTAGGCCACAGGGCTGGAGAGAACCCCGGGAGCGCAGGGCAGGATCTGGGAACTCAGGCTTGGGAAGAAAGGAGCCGCGATAGACTGATCCTCCAAGGGGAAAAAGAGTGAGGGGAGTGAAGAGAGGCGTTTGTGAATATCTTTCTCTACCTCCACACTATCCTCGTCCAAAAGAGAGGCCTCGACTTACAGCTGAAGAGAATTATTTCAGACTTTGGGAAGAACTTCTCTGCGAATCAGGAACACGCAGCCCTAGACCGAGGCCTCAGGGAGGTCTGGTACCTCCATGCCCGAGGGTCTGGGCCAGGGAAGGCGCGTTCTGCCCTGAGGCCTGGTGCGCCCTGCCTGGCTCAGGCTAGGAAGAAAGAAAGCGCGGAGTCAGCCAGGCCCTGGATGGCGCGGCATGTGCGCCTCAGCACTTTCTGTTGTAATCCCCGGGGGCTGGGGCCCGATGGGCGGCTGTGGGAAAGACCTCAGCTCCCCAGGGAGACCAGAGCAGACCGAATCCTGCCTGCTGACTCAGCTCCCCACCCCTGCTGGAGAGGGTACAGGGCGGGGGACGAGGCCTGAGTATAAAGCCCCGCGCTCCCGGCTGCGAGCTGCTTCCCTGCCACGCTCACCCAACTGGTGATACCCAGCGCTAGGGAGAAGGAGGGCGAGTTGAGGGTCAGCCCCTGGAGTCTGGGTCCAGAGCCAGGCCGAGTCCAGTTCCCCCCACTTCCCCCGTCCTCCATCCCCTACTCAAGTCGGGCAGGCTTTGGCTCTTGAGACCCTAAGCGCGTGGTCCCACCCTTCCTGTCGGCAGCAGCATGAGCAGCGCCCCTGCGCCGGGCCCAGCGCCCGCCTGCCTGACTCTCTGGGACGAAGAGGACTTCCAGGGCCGTCGCTGCCGGCTGCTGAGCGACTGTGCGAACGTCTGCGAGCGCGGAGGTCTGCGCAGGGTGCGCTCGGTCAAGGTGGAAAACGGCGTGTGAGTGATCTCCCCGCTGCCGCCGAGCTTGTATGAGATGCACTGGGGCTTCTCCTGCCCAGGGACTTCTGCCTGGGACCCTGCACTGGGGACCTCCTGCCTGGGACCTCTGCCTCTGTGTGCCCTGAGATATACCCGCCAGCATGAAAAATCCCTCTCAGCCTCCTCCAAACTCCCCAACTATTGCAAATACAAATCACTGGGGAAAGTGTATCCTTCAGAGTTAAGGAGACAAAGACTAGAAGAGACCCCTTCAGGTCCCTCACGGGGCCCCTGAAGAGGTTTCCAGTGTAGTTATGTCCTTCCCAAAGTTTTTTTCTGTGTGAAGTTAGTCAGCTCCAATTTGCTTAACAAAAGAAAGTTAACCTACTGCTGGCCCCACTTTAGTGTCCTGGAACCCAGCCTGAGGCCTTCAGGAGAACTGAGGTAGGCTGCTGTAGCAGGCAGGGGTCCCTGATGCTTCTCTATGTAGGCTCCTGAATCCTTGAGGTAGAAGCACTTTGTTTGGTGAGTCCTGGTTATAACCTTCTCTAGGCCTAGACTCCTAAAACAGGTTACAAGTGATCTTTGTAACCTGAGAAATTCCTTCCAAGTTAGGGCCCTGGGCAGGAAGTTTGGGCTCCTTAAGCCCAAGACAGCCATAGGTTTGGAGTCTTTAGTCTCTACGGACTGGATTGCAACGCAGTGAATGTGTGTGGGAAGTGTCTGGAGAAAAAGATTGGGTTTCTCAGTCTGTTCAAATACAAAAAGCAAAGGGGAAGGGGAGGAAGTGAGCCTGAGGCAGATAGATGCTCCACCCGGCTCTTCTTCTTTTTCAGTTGGGTGGCCTTTGAGTACCCTGACTTCCAGGGACAGCAGTTCATTCTAGAGAAGGGCGACTATCCTCGCTGGAGCGCCTGGAGCGGCAGCAGTGGCCACCACAGCAACCAGTTGCTGTCCTTCCGGCCAGTGCTCTGCGCAGTGAGCACAGCCCCACCCTTCCTCTTCCTCCTAGTTTCAGACTCTGGCCCCACTACTGAGCTCTGGAAAGGCCGTCCACCCCATCACTGCATGGAGTGTGTAAACAAACTCCTATGAGGGTGGTAGGGGCATTACTTCCTAGAACCAGGGGGTCTTGGAAAGTTGGAATTGGGGGAGTAGGTCAGGAACCTGAAAATCAGCACCACGGACAGTGCTGAAGCTGTGCCAGTCCCAGTGCCCAATGGCCCCTCAGTTCCAGTCGTCCACACATGTAAGTGAGCAACTCTGTCACCACACAGCCCTGTGAGGTCGGGACAGCTGCTGTTAATCCTATATGCAGGGGGCTTCAGAGGGACAAAGTGGCTTGCCCCAGGTCAAAAGGGTTAACACAGAGCTGAGACTAGAACTCAGTCCAAGGAGCAAGGCTGAGAAAAGAGTCAATCTCAACCTGTGTTTGTGTAATTGGGGAGGAAGAGTTGGTAATGAATCAAATACACTGAAGGGGAAGATCTCACTTTCCATTTGTGCTGACATAGGTACTGGGACTGGGGGATTAGAGAGCAGAAGACCCAGTCCAGCCCATCTTCTCCATTCTAAGAGACTAAGGAAGCCTTTAGGAGGAAGTCCCTGGACAAGATGGACAACAAATACAGATGCCCTGATGTGTCTATTCTTATTCTGCCATCCAGAGCCCCTTAGCTGAGTGCCCCTGTGAGAGGCTGTGCCCAGCATACTGGGGAGGGGTTGGGGTAGTCATTGAGGCCCTAGGGAAACTATCTTGGTTAATGGGCTACATTTTTCTAAGAAGCTCTAATTTTCCTCCTGCAAATAAGGCTCCTGTCAAAAGATAACTTCTAGCCATGACCTGAAATGGTCTCATCAGTTGGAATGAGAATCTGGAATTCTGGAACTGGAATCTCCCAGTCTCACCCACCCACCCCTGGGAGGGTGTTGGTGGTGGGGAGAACTCTGAGCATTTCAACTTCCCAGACTGCCAGGGAACTGATAGGGTGAATTCTGGGAGTGCTTGTGGGGCCTAAGTGGCTGTACAACTTGTGTTGGGCAGTGGACTGGGAGGAGTAGGGCTGAGGATGTATCCATTAACACATCTTTAGATGGCCTAACCTCTCTACCCCTACCTTCCTATGCCTCAGAACCACAGTGACAGCCGTGTAACACTGTTTGAGGGTGACAACTTCCAGGGCTGCAAGTTTGAACTGAGTGATGACTACCCATCCCTGCCCTCCATGGGCTGGGCCAGCAAGGATGTGGGTTCCCTCAAAGTCAGCTCTGGAGCGTGAGTCCTGGGAATGGAACAGGGGAGATGAGAAGACTTCAGAAGCAGTGGGGACCAAGGGGAGAAGTGGTGGAGGGGTGCTAAGGGAGACTGGGGACTAGAGGCAAGGGGAAGTGAGATGGAGACAGACTGGGAAGGAGAAAGAGAGTAGGTGATAGGAGAATGGGAGGCAGGGAAAACTTTGGGGATAGAGAAAGGGATTAAGAATATGGGTAAGGAGGAAATGAAGGGTGGGAGTAAAAGACAAGATGAGGAAAGTGACAGGAAGACTGAGAACAGGGCACAGAACAGAGAGATATGCACAGAGGAGAAGTTGAAGCAATGGTTTTGGAGCTGAGGGTGGGAGCTGGAAGAGGGGCTGCTAAGGAGGACATAGATCTGGCTGCAGGCAGAGCCTAATCATCACTCCTGTGCCCTTGCTGGCCTAGGTGGGTAGCTTACCAATACCCAGGTTACCGAGGCTACCAGTACATATTGGAGCGAGACCGGCACAGTGGGGAGTTCCGCACCTACAGTGAATTTGGCACGCAGGCCCACACTGGACAGCTGCAGTCTATTCGGAGAGTCCAGCACTAGGTTCTATAGCCCCAGATACCTCCACTGAGAACCTTCAATAAAGGCTCTTGAACCTGCTTGCCCCTCTTGCCTCCTTGGTGCCTTGCTTTTTGATCTCTGTCTTCATCCTTTGTAGGGCTCCTCCCTGCCATTCTGACCCTTGCCTCAGGCTCAGGTACCCTTGACTATCAAGCATAAACTGCCTTAGAATATATGTGGGTGGGCTCTGGTGGAGCTGGAAGGAAACTGCTGGTAATAAGCTTTGGAATCCTGGAGCCTGGCCCAGTAGGTGGTTCACAACTATAGTCCCAGCCACTTGGGAGGCAGAGAAGGCAGGAGGATTGCTTAGAGACCAGGAATTCAAGATTACAGAGAGCAATGATCTTGTCACTGCACTCCAGCCTTGGTGATAAGAGTGAGACCCCTGAAAAATCTTGTGTCTCCTGTTAAATACCCCCAGTCTCACATTTCTTGATAAAGACCCTCTCCTTGGTAAAGATCCATCAACATGGGTTGGAGTACTACTGGCCCAGATGGCAACTTTGCCATCCTCTGGGTGGGGTGTACATGCCCCCAGTAGCAGGCCTCATGTCTAGATTTCAGTCTCCACATACCCTCTGAACCAGGTACCATCATGCTCAGCAGAAATTTTTTTTTTAAGCTAGTGAAATTTAGCAGAACTTTAGTGACACTAATGTTAATAAGTTCTGGTGACCCACTATCATTAGACTAGCCAAAACTTCTTTAACCCTAAGCAGAAGCTTTATTGTATTCTTCTCTAACCACCCCCCCACCCCTGCCAGAGTATTTTCTTTCAGGCTTTATCTTCACCCCAGTTTCCTCCCAGTCAGGGAAGCCTGTGAGCCTCTTTCAATAGGCCCCTTTCCTCCATTCCCAGGAGAGGAATAAGTGGGAAGTCCCACTGCTTCCCAGGGCCTTGAAGGGGGGAGAATTCCTCTCTCTGACCCCAGCCCCTAGTCCTCTTTGCCTGAATAATTATCCCTTGAGTGGTGTTGAAATCCACCATTTATAAAGCATTTTCACACCCCTCCTCTCAGCTGCTCCAACCCCCCCTACTTTTCCTTGCCCTCCCTTTCCTTCAGAGGACTGAAGGTGAGTTATAGAAGCCACTCCTCAGCCAGTGACTCAGTGAGTCTGGATTCTGAGGCAGGTGGCAGAGGCCCACAGCCACGGTGGGGCTGGTATGTGAGCAGTCATCAGAGCCTCTGGCACTTGTGTAGTTTTTCCCAATTTCCTCTTGGCCTAGTTAATGATACCACCATCCCTATATAGGCAGAGCCTCTCAAGGCCCATCCCATCCTTCAGGAGTTCTTGTATTTACAAGCCCTCAGTGGACCTATCAGTGGGGAGAGGTGGCCCAGATCATTGCCCTAGCCCAGGTAGAGCAAGACAATGTTGGAGAGCATTCAGACTTGGACCTAGGAAGTCCTCAGGGGGTCAAACTGTGCAAAGTCAGGCAGCTGTTCCTTTGGGAAGAGTCCTGGACCATACACCAGAACACTGGGGATCCAATCATAGCATCCTGACCCTCAATTTCCTCACCTGTAGACTGGGGCTACAGGCAGAGAAGGATCCCTGCCTTTTCTGTCTGATAGGGTTATTGAGAAGGTTCTGTGAGAACCCCCTGAAAATGCTTGTGATGTTATTGAAAAGATTGGGGAAGTCAATGTAGGGCCCTCCTTCCCTTCTCTCATCTTCTCTCCCCCCTTCCCTGCCCCCATGGATCCTAAGGTTGGGTCCAGGGGGTCTAGGTGGGACATATATTCTATTTCACACTTGAATGAGCCCTAGAGCACATGGCCCCTGTTGCACTGGGTCCTATTATCCTCCATTTTCTATTATACCAATGAAGAAACTGGGGCTCCAAGAAGGAGAAGACTTGATGAGGTTACCCACTTAATTGTTGAAGAAGTCAGGATTTGAACCCAGGGCTGCTGGCCCCAAATCCAAGCTAAGGGGAGGCCAATCAGAGCTGTGGCTAAAAGCCTCAAGCCTCAGCAGAGCTCCAAACTTCTGTGGGTCCCAGAATTTATGTAATTTTCCCCAGAGTCATACAACTAGGAAATGGGGAAGCCAGGAGTTGAACCCAGAACTCAGACAAACTGACTTCAGAGCCCACAGCCCATCTCCCTCCCTACCACCTGCTTTGGGGAACAGGCAATGGCAAAGGGAGATTTGGTATCTGCTCCTGGCTGAGCTGCCCGCCCTTACCAAGAGTCAGCAAGATGGCTTCAGGAACTAGAAATGTGACCCTGAACAGACCAAGGGTGTCTGGGTCTTAGTTTC